GCCTCCTTGAAGATTGTTTCTTAAAGACTCCCAGTCCCTGTAAATGACAAACACCGTGGTTATATCAATAATACTTATTTACCTACTTCCTTACTAAATGAATGTATGAATGTATTTCATAGACTACGAAATTTTGTGACTTAAATACCTCTAAGTATGCAGTGGGAAAAGGTTCAGGGATCTACACAGCAGAATTAGCTTCAAGTCTCCCCACAGTAGACCATCCTTTATTGGTTAGTTCGCCTCAACTGGCACTTGCTATCTCAATAACTTACACAGAGACTCTAATAAAGGAAAAATAAAAAGTTTTATTTTACTTATATTTCTGAAGAGATTAAAAAAAAAACAGCATTCTGTGGAAATAATAGTAGATACGGCTGACCAACTCTGACTACATAACTCTGTCCACAGGCTGTCAGTTACATCGGTAACTGACAGAAAACTTTTGACTCCTGACTGAAAGGAGTGCAGGGGACAGGGTGGGGAGAAACTCTCGAGTAGAGAGGCATGGCTCTTTTCAAATTCTGAGGCAGAGATGGAATGATTGGTCACTATTGGACTGATTGACAGTAACCACAATCCAGAATGGTCCCTTCCAGCCAAGGCAACATATGAATTTACAATAATTCCAACAGAAACTTAGTCATGTTTAAAATAGATTCACTGAAATCAGTGGGACTAGTAATGACTAACGTAGAATCCACTGATCTCAGCAGAACTACTTTTAATAAATTGGAATCTAAAACCTATGTATAATTCTGATCGGTTTCTCATTTACAATTAGAAGGATTTTCCAGAAGTGCAGATGTTGGATAGGCTTCATTTCCCTAGCGCGGCAACAATGACAACAGTTGTTAAAGAATAATGTAATTTATTGTGACTTTTTAGGGCTAGAGCCTACTTTATATGATGCTAATTTATGCTGTGCTAATTAGGAATGTGGAAAATTCTCTCAGTGAAAGCTTTAGAAATGAAGTTACCTAAACAAATAGAGAAACAGGTGCAATTTGCAGTCCAAATCCATACATTTGTTTACCATATCATTCATTCAGACACTTCACCGAGCTCCAGGCTGGTAAGTTCAATACGACTGTTGGCTTTTTTTCCAGGTTGGTCTGCCCATTCCATTATTTTACAGTTCATTTAACTTTAGTTTTGTCTCCCATTGCTGCAACTTTAATCTGTATGCTTTTCCTCTATGTATATGCTTTCCTGAGTCTTCTCTGAGAGGTGAAAAGAAAGTTGTTTAGGAGAGAAACAGTACAAATCTGGAAGAATAAGGTGGATGGATGAAGGGTGCTCACTGAACTAAGCAGGAAACAAAAGCTTAGCATAATATCTTGGGCAGGATTTGTGTTTTGCAGTTACCTTGACAGGAATCCTGTTTTGGTGCTAATGTTAAAATTTTGTTTACTAGCTAGTTGCTGGTTGGTTTATCCCTCCAAGAAGCCAAACAGGAGTGATCAGGGAATGTTTGCATGCAACTCTGTTTTATCATTATATGTGTGTGAATACAGCTGGTTATACTCATTTAATTGTCTATACTTCTCTATTGTAAATTGTTGTATTATGACGCTTAACAGCTTGTAGGTTCTGCTTGTGATGGTTCACTTACAAATGCAACTTTTTATTTGATGCTACTGCAACGTAGTAATGGAAGTATAAGTGTTAACCTACTGGTGTAGGAAAATTTGCAAGTTGTCCTTGCAAAAACCCCAGCTCTGTTATTATACAGGGCAAATTGGCAGCATTTGTGTGAAGAAGATTGCAGCACAATATACCAAGCAGGATTATATGTTTTTTCAGGCCATTTCCAGTATTATATGCCTTCAACCCAAAAGGCAAATCCCTCCGAGAGAACAATTTAATTCCGCATGGATTCTAGAGCAGTGTAAGATTGTTAGCACCTGACTTCTTTCCTGCACATAGGGGGCCTCTATAGCTATTTGTACTTTCCAGAGCTGCTAGCATATTTATCTGAGTGTACCCTTTGCTTTAACACTCAAGGTCATGCCCTGGTACCAGCATCAAATTATGGGAAGAGGAGAAAAGCAGATCAGTATTAAATGCATCAGCAGCATCTACCTGCACTGTGTCAGTTTCGGCAGCTGCAGCTGTGAAAACAAAAGTTTCATATTCTAACCGGCTTTACGTTATAGTCATCCTTTTGCTCAAGGAAGGAAACTAAAGCCTGCATGTTCAGAACATTTTGTTCTCCTACTACAAAGAAATTTCCCCTTTTAAAAATCACTGATCATGATACAGAAAGTGAATGTGTGCAGGCTTGCATAGTTTGAATGCTTTGTTTAGTTAGTGCATCCATTTGATTTATCTTTCTTTTCTTCTTGCTGGTTCTTATGTTCATGTGGTCAGAACTACTCTTCTATCCTGGAAGTGATTTCACTGGGATTATTAATAGGAAATGAAAGCATTTTGTTATAAGTGCTATTCTCACAAGGCAAGCATATATGTATAGTGATCAGAATCTGGATCTGAGATTTAGGTTCAAAGCTCTAGCCAGCCATGACAGCCACTGGGTGTCCATGAATCAGTGACTCTCTTAGTACTCTCTCTCTCATTGTCCTGCTTTACAGGGTAGTTGTGAAGAAAAAGTGAGGAGGAAGACGAACCACATATATTGCCTTGAATTGTGGGAGTAAGGATGAATATAAATATGATTAATAACTTTTGGAACTCTTGTAATACTGACAAAAGTTACACACTTTAACTCCCAACCCCCATTATGAGATATTTGGCTGGGTTAATGCTAATGAGATAACTGACATAACTTCAGTTAATTAAATGAGGCCTGTACATGCTAAAACCTGCTCTGTAAATAGTTCTAGTTTCTCAGTTCATTTTGGGATACAAATATTTACACTGGACTTAATCCAACCAAATTAAGCACTTCTGTGTCCTATCTAGTACAATGACTAAGACTTAAACATGTACTTAACTCTCCACTGACATGACTGTGAACTTCAACTTAAACCTTTTGAGACAGTGGTCATTGTATTTTGGTTAATTATGTGCAGAAAACTGAGACTGGGATAAGACTATACTGTATATGCAAAGCATTTCTGAATGAGGACAGGAAAGTTAGGTGTGAAGCACGGTCAGTCTTTACCTTCTGACAAAGCCCATCCCATCCATGTTTCCTCAGAGTATCCACTAGTCATATTTTTGTAGGCAGATCGTGGGGGCTCCACTGGAGGTGGAGACATGAGGAAGGTGAACGTGGTGTTTGAGATTCCAGTAAGCATTTCTTCCTTTTTGCAAAAAAAATGGAGACAAAAGATACAGAAAGAAATCCCAGTATGGAGAAATAAGTCTTTCAAAACATTAGGTTAAGTCATTTTCATTTTTAGCATGGTTTTACTTTGAGTGGAATTTCTATAATTTGCATCGGAAAGAAGAAATAGAAAACAATATTTCGAAGTTTATTATTCAGCCCCTATAATTTTGTGGGAAGTTTGAAAAAAATAAATTGAAAAAGCTTTGTGCAGAAGTGTCTTATAAATGAATAATTTTAAGTTATAGCCTATGCTTATCTCATTATTTTATGGCTATACGGTAAATGGTAGGCAACAAAAGCATATACCGTGAAATGGAAGATTACAATTATGCATTGGTATTCGTACGATATGTCTCACTAATGTCCCCAGGGAATTTTTCAACAAATATCCCATGTTAATTGGCTCAGTACCTGTATGTCTGACATGGCAAAAATTTAATAATTACTTTGTGTATGGGGAAGAAATAAATAAAGATAAATTATGTTCCTAGATTAAAAGCTATTTGGGGCAAGAACAATTTTATATTGGCTCTACTCATGCCTAGCAGAGCGTGATTCTTCTGCTGATTAGTTCCTGAATTCTTCATGCCATTAAGATACAATGGAGAAGAAAGGGGTTAAATTAAATTACATTGTTTTGTAATATCAGTTTCCATTTTCTCTGGTGTAAGGCCAGTTTAATCCAGTAGTACTTTAGATATGTATCTTTTCAGGGCTTAAAAAGAATCATCTGGCATATAAATTGCAAATCACACTACTGTTAACTGTTTGACATAATTAAAAGATCACCTGTCTATGGTTCTTGTCAACCTTATTTTCACATTAGGATCTTTTTTTTTGGAGGCTCTGGGAGAAACCAAAGAGAACTCATAATCATGCATTATTGTTTCATTTTAGGGAGCTCAGTCAATAACCTGTGGTCTACTTAATTACTCCTTTCACATGGTTGGTATAATGCTTAACCTATATGTGAGATAAAGTCATATTTAATTTTTTTCTGAGAAAACTCGGGTAGAACAAACTCAACATGTTAGATTGTGCCAGTAGAAATGTCAGTTTTGTGAGGAAGACATTTTTGGCCCATTTCCATCCCAAACCTTTAGTAGGTTTTAGGTTCAAACATTAATTCTAGATTGTGTGAATGTTAAGTGCAAGAAACAATGTCGTATCTTTCTCTAACTGGTTTCGCCACTTCTCTCCAAGAATACAAGTAGCTTTATAGGGTATGTTTTCTTTGTGTAGCAGGTGCACTTTTGTTGAAATGCTATAAAGTGCTCTCTAAGGCTTGTAACTTCCTTGTCAGCTTCAATTTGATATGTTTACCCACAACTGAATAAACAGATCAGCAACAGCAAAACATTGCATGTGAGAAGCAGAGAAGACTCAGCAATGTTGAATAACAATACAATCCCTCTTTCTGTGATTGACTTCCCCCTCCACTTCATTTTTTTATTCAAATGTCATTTTAGTGAGGTTGCAATATGTTCCTGTATTCTCTGAAAAAGGAAGAGATCTGCTGAAATTCTGGTGCACTGTGAATTTTCTGAATGTAAATGAAGGGCAGTGGCTGCTGCATGTGGCGGCAGTGACAGAGAGAAAATGTAGCTCTAATCAGGGGCTTCCCTCCACCCACTCCCTTCCCCAGTCTCTGGAGATTTTACTGATTTCGCCCTCTTTGTTGTTTGTCCCCTTCTCCAAATTAAAGCTAGATGATGAAGTGACTACTATTCAAGTGAAGGAACTGGACCAAGATGTACTGGTGCTTAAGAAAGTGTCGTCACATAGCCCTGCCCCTACATTAGGGAGTGCCGAGAGTGATTGGAGGTAAGAGTTTTTTTCCGTGGGCGCTTAGACACAGCCACACACACGCACAAGCTGACTGCAGAGCTCTCAGCAGCCAGATGAACTCGCTTACCGGCAGCCGAACTAAGACGGCAAGATACAGCAGCAGCATGTAGGGAATGTCTTTGTTGTTTGCCCTCCAGTATGGGAAGTTCCAGGGTGAAGATCTTTGACCCCCACATAGAGAAGAAGGATTCTGCCTTGTTTCTAGGCAGGGAGCTGCCTCTGCCCACATTTGATGTGCCTTATTTTAAATACATTGATGAAGAGGATGAGGAGGATGAATGGAGCAGCCGTTCCCAGTCTTCAACAGAGGATGACTCTGTGGATTCTCTCCTTTCTGACAGATATGTGGTGGTATCCGGGACGCCAGAGAAGATTTTAGAGCACCTCCTGAATGACTTACACCTGGAAGAAGTGCAGGACAAAGAGACAGGTAAATGGCAACTGCACCCTCTCCTAAAAACCAGGTTTCAGATTCCACGTGTGGTCATAATAAACATAGTTGTTTAGTTGCTATGCAGGTAGTGTACATAGTAGCATTTTCCTTACCAGCATTTGTACTTAAAATTGTACTGTGAAGTATTTAGGATACTATTGTGTTTTTTTTAAGATTTGCATTTAAATTGGTGCTTGCTCCTCTGTGTCATCTGTATTTGACAATAGGAGATTGAATCTGGAATTAAAAAGTTAACCTTAAAAATGTTACTCCATCTCGCATTTTCAGCAGATCGATACATAAAATGCAAGCAATTGTCAGGAAGGGTGTGTGATAATGTTACATACAGGTGGTATTAAGATATATAGCTGCAGGTTAAAAATGTCATCGGATATCTGAAGTACTGTGCAGCTACTTGTTTAGTACCAACTTCTGCTTCTTATTTTTTAATAACTAGCTTACCTATTGCATGTATAGCACAGGCACTAATACACTGAATGCATTGCTAATTCTTCTTCTTCTGCATTGTGATTCTCTGTAGCCTGAAGCAAATGACTATATTGATCCAGTGACTTAATGTGCATTTCATTTAGTGCTGCAATATTTATATAAATTTTATATTTTGCCCTAATCAGAGTGCCTGTGGGTTGATGTAGAATTTGAAAGTGGTCTGTACACTTTCCGCATAGTATAATATGCAATAATACGACCTTCTGTAATACTTGCTTGTGTTTAACCCAGAATTGTAATTGTGTTCCAGCCTGGAGCAATTATTATATTGATCAGGTAGCTCGACAGGAAGGTTATTTTTCAGCTTGATCTCCCAGCTTTAATGTACACTTTGCTGTCACTAGAGCTCCTTTGGTAGTTTATCAGTATCACTTGCAATTTATTTACAGTTTTAATTAAAGCGGCTTTGTGGCTCTCCTTGAGAGTTTTCAGTATAATTGCAGAGGAGCTGGAGAATGTAGCAGGCTGGAAATGGAGTTGATATGGGGTGTTCTTTTATTGTTCTCAGTGGAGCTACAATGCACATTCCTAATGTTCCTTTCCAAATGAGATTACTAAAAATAAACACATTTGCAGGGATTAAAAGGATTAAAGCATAAATAACATCTGTGAATTCCTGTAGCGTTCTTCAGTCTGTTTTTCAGGTCCACAAATCTGAAGAATATTGTGAAACATAAGGCACTTGCACTTAACTGTGTTTTCCTACAAAATAAGTGAAAAGAAAACCCAAGCATCTGATTTATTGTGCTGTCCACCAAGCTGCTTCTCTGTGACTAGAGATTAATATTTAGTACAGAGAAAACACTGCTATCTGATTGCTATGCTTCCTCAGGTATAATCATAAAAATGCTGTGTGTAATTTCACTGGTGCCAAATCATAGGCTATATAATGGAGGTGGTTCATGCCAGAATAATCTTGGCTAGGTTGCCTGAATCTCATGCAGTAGGGGAATTCCTGCTAAATTATTTCTGTATTTCGGTTCAAAGCAGTTGGGTTACCTCTCCTGTACACTGCTGTATGCATTATTCATGCCTGGTTTGGATTTTAATGAGAAAGGATTCATTTCCCAGTAGTGTGGTACAACACTCTCCTTGGTTTTTTAACTTCTAGAAAGAATACTTCAAGTTAACGTGTACCTGTCCGGTAGTTCTCATGTTATTCTCTCTTGCCCTCCACATTTCTTAACGTTAAACCAAAATGCTCATGAGCATTTTATTGTTCCAGACTGTAGGTGAAGAAGGGCAATCTCAGCATGACTGGCTGAGATGATAATGTATTCAGTGGCTGGTTGATTGTCCTTAACATTTTCCCACTCTTATCACTTCTTTGGAAGAAGTGATACTTTCAGTCATGTCATATGTTTGTTGTGTTTTAGGAACAGTAAAATAAGGATTTTCCCTCCCCTATGGATCATATTTCTGTTAAACTAGATGTAAAGACCCAAGACATGAATGTGTGAAAATTCCTAGTTGTTACATTTTAGGTGTAGAAATAATTGAAGTATGAAGAAGTGTGGAGTAATTTTTTTCTGATGATCATGCTGGTAGTAAAAAAAACTAACATATTTTATTGTTTAGACACTGCATTCTCTCTTTTTATTTCCGGAACTTGCAAAGCCAATATTGGTGGAGATTCATTCTGCGAGGTTTATAATGCTGCTCAATAAATACGTCTCTTCTAAACTCAGTCCTTTGAAGGACTAGCTTACATAGGTCATAGATCTAAACAATTAATTTAGAACTGGACACACACCTTTAAAAGTGTATGTGAACACACATGCACACACATGCATGCACACTTCAGTCTTCCTATCTTATTTGCCCTCAGCTGAAGACTGACTGTTGCTGTGCCTAGTTTTTCAGCCAGTTGTATGCCTGTTCCAATTCTTGCTTTCTGCTTATACTGCAGAATTTGTTGGCGAGGGTACCTGATTACTGATCATATAGCGTTGTTTCTCTTCTCATGTTTTTGAGTCTTCACAACCCGTTGGCTTTTCTGGTTGTCACTTGCCCCTGGCTGGGAACCTGGTGATAGTCTGGCAGTACTTCAGAAATTCTATCATTGCTTTACTCTCCTTAAAATTTGACAGAATCTTCTTTAAGAAACTGCTCAAAAATAACATGTGCAATATTAAAACTAGCACCTGAAACTTTGAAGAGTTGTGTTACTTGCCTGCTTTCACGGTACCTTTTTGGATGGAAGTTGTTATTCAGTGTTTACTTTCATACACATCTGTAGAAAGAGTGGTGCTGTGTAAACTCTGAACTGAACCTAAGCATCCTTTGTGCATCCCTTAACATCGGAGTTCAGGCAAGTTATTTTCTGGACTATAGTTCTCAGAATTCTCCAGACAGTGTAGCTACTGACTGTGCTGACTGGGATGGTTGTAGGACTTAAGAATTCCAGGCAAGTTCATAACAGGCTCCAGATCCAATGGTGTATGTCTATATTACATGCTTTCGTCCCCTCTGTCCTGCCATAGTCCTCTGTGGTGGCAAAAACCTGTCCCAATGGATTTTCTAGCCCTAAAGACCTGCTCCTTTTTGGAGTAGGTCTTTAGGGTGCACAGCAGGCTACAGGAGGGATGAGGGACTTCTGTTTCTGGAGGGAGGAAGCAATGGAGTCCTATGGGAGTGTACCACCGAGTTTTGGCTAGGGTGCATAGGACATTGCAGTATATTGAATGGCACTATTGATATGTTTGACTATTCTCACTGGTAGCAGTTCTTCAAGGTGCGTCAAGCAAAAGCTGTTTGTGTTTGATATTTAGCAGAGCAGGAACGAGAGAAAAGGAATAGATGAGTAGTAATCACAGTGGGTGAATCAAAAAGACAGAGTCCCTCAAGGATTTGTGTAAAGGCTTGTGCTTTTTGACTTACTCATAACGATACAGGGTCTGCGTTAAGCAGTGAGTTAGCTGTATTTCTAACAGAGCTAGAACTCTCAGAGTCTACCAGCCAGTGACCATGTGAACTGGAGGGGTACTGGGAGTTGTTGTTGTTAACCTTTGCAAAATTTTCCAGTTTGTGGATGACTCCAGGTTTTTCAGGCTGTTTTAAACAGAAAGGCAGCTGTGAGGGGCTTCAGAAGGCTCTCTCTAGACACTAACAGAGCTAGAACTCTCAGAATCTGCCAGCCAGTGACCATGTGAACTGGAGAGGTGCTGAGAGTTGTTGTTGTTAACCTTTGTAAAATTTTTCCAGTTTGTGGATGACTCCAGGGTTTTCAGGCTGTTTTAAACAGAAAGGTAACGGTGAGGGGCTTCAGAAGGCTCTCTCTAGACAATGTGACTGGGTATCTGCTTCGTGTAAGCAACTGTAAAGTGATGAACCTATGTAGCAGTTGTCTCACTTACAATGGTCTCTTTTACCACCTGCCCTCCATTTTAACACTATTCCAATATTATATCCCGTGATGTATCAAAACCCCATTTTATGACAGCTGTGACTCACTTTTACAAGCACTGTGATCCCTGCTGGGAACTGGCATGTTTAGCTTCACCAAGAATGGGAAAAAGAACAGAGATGGGAAGGGGAAGAAGGAAGACAGAAGAAGTCAGATAGAACCAGCAAGCAAGCAAGCTAGAGAGAGATGAGGTGGGATAAAGAAGAGAGAAGACAGTAGAGGTCAGAGGTGAATGCCCAACCAGCATACTAGAGAATGGAGCGGTGAAGATAGAAGACAATGAAACTCAAAGGAGACTGCCAATAAGCAATCAAAAGGAGATATGAAAGAGAACTGAGAAGACAGCAGAGTTTTCTTTTATAAGTTACACAAATTCTCCAGAGGCAAGAGAATTTTGTTTTAACACTGCAACTGGTGCAGAAATAGGGTTAGACTTACAAGGGGGCATTTATAACCATAATCATAGAAACAGTTAGATTGTAAGTGTAGGGGTCTGCCAAATTTCAAAATCACAGATCCAGATATGGTATCTGAGTTGGGAGTATTTGGGCAGGAAAGGAGTATCAGGGTGAAGTTGAAGGACAGAGGTTCAAGACAGAAGGAAGTCATACCTCCTCATATAGTGTGTAGCTATACTATGGAACTTACAGAATATGTAGCGAAGGTCACCAAATTAGATCACTTACAAATAGTTTGGATAAAACACAATAAGATTAAGTGTAATAATGGCTACTGGTCACAATGAATATGTACTATATCTAGTGTAGGGACAATATGCTTCTCTATATTGATTACTGGGGAATATGGACAGAAGGTATTATCTTCTGTGCTCCTTGTGAGCTTCCCATCAGCATTCGGTTGGCCACTGTAAGAACAGAATCCTGACCTGGACAGATCTTTGGACCAATCAAGCAGGGATTTTATTATAATTTTATGTTCTAGTGCTTTTTCCATAACAAGTGCTCTGTCAGTGAGTTATGACCTCTCTCAAGGATACTGATGTATAAAATACATAGATACAAAAAAATGTGTTAATATGTTGCAGTGTTAGCTACTGCAGCATTATTAATTGTGCAGCAGA